TAGGGTCTTTTTTAGCCCTATCTCAGAGATGGGTGTGATCCCCGCCACATTGTCCGTCCTGCCTCAGAGGCAGTAAGGGAGGACCTGACAACAACTTGATGAGGACACTTACCACAGCTTCTACTGAGTGGGTTTCCGTAGATCCGGGCATTTTGCTGAACATTTTACAAACATTTTATCATGTAAATCTTCACAGCGGCCTTTTAGGTAGACCTACAGATGGAAAAACTGAGCTGCCGGGTGAAGGCCTTGCCTGTGTTCTTCCTCCAGGGGAGTGTGGTGAGGTGCTTACAGGCTAGTCTACAGTCTCTAGAGCTCCAGTCCTTCCTCATGCAGCTGTGCTGCCTCCTAGGTAGGGCTGGACTGAACAACAGTTACAGAGACAGCTGCACCATGGTGGGGCTGTGTCTTTCTCTGGTTCCTTCCCAGCACTATTATTTGGAGCAGCTCACTTGGCCCAGTAACTCTTTACAGGTGGGGAGGTTGAAGCTGAGCTAAGGGACTTCTTGAAGGTCTTTGATCTTAAATTCTTAAATATCAGAGATGGTCCAGGGCCCGGTTCTTTCAGCCCAGGACGCTTAGTGAGTGGCTGCTATTTACAGCGTCCTGACAGGCTGTGTCTGCGTTGCCTTGAAGCCCTTCTGTTCTTTCCTTAATCAGGCTGTGTGTCCGTTTAGGGATGGGGTCCACACTCCCGAAGCAAAACAGTCCTGGGGCTGGGACTGCTTCAGTTCCAGCCCAGACCCTTCTTTGGTGCCAGAGTCCTAATGACTTCCCCTCACCCTGCTGGTCCCATCACTGGAACCTCAGGTGCTTTTCTATTCCGGAAAATTTATATCTTGCGGTTTTTGTGGGTAAGAGAAAATGACACCACCAATGACAGGTCCCCTGGCAGGCCCCTGGCAGGCCCCCGCTGTGGTTTGTCTGGGAAAATAGCCCTTTAATGCTTCTGTGACTGCCACAACTTTCCGAAAGTGAGAGTGGCTCTGTTTTACTGTTATGGGGAGCCACTGCATGCCGCTGCCTCTGTCCTCTGTGAGAGAGGGGAGCTCTGCTGCTCAGCAGAGCCCTGGTCTACAGGTGACTGCAGCTGCCATGACTCTGGATACACTAGCAGACGGTCACAGTGCTCTGGTGTCTTTTCCCATTCCTTGACTGGGGTACCACCCACTGGGTATTGGAGGTGTTATCTGTATGTGTGGAGGAATCACTCCAAGTTCTGAGGCCTGCTTTGGATTCTTCAGCAGGGATCTCTAATAGCCTTTACAGAAAGATGGCTTACTGGTAGGGCACTTCGTTAGCATGCACGAGGCTTTAAGTTTAATCTCTTGTGCTGTGGGGTGGGGTCAAGAAATGTAACTGTTCACTTTCTTTCTGGGGAACTTACCTTGGTTTTTGGAATGCTCAGACTCCTGTGCTCATCGTTTGCTCCACTGGTGTTTGCTTTCCTCTGCCTTAGGTCAGGTGTGCGGTGGGTACTTGGAGGGCTCAGGAAAGCTTCCTGGAAGAAGGGGTTCTCAGCTGAGTATAGGCTGAGGGATCTTGGGAAGAGCCTGCCGTGTAGCATGGGGATAGCACCTTGGGCAAGAGGCTGGGCAGATTGGAAGAGGAGACCTGGAGAAGGCTTGGACATTGGCTCAGGCCAAGCCTGGTTGGCTCTGTTTGCCAAGGTCTTGTGCAGAGTGGATATATTATTAATCACTTCCAGAGGGGTGGCCCATAAAACTGCCTGCTGGTGATGGGGTGACCTTTATTGCTGCTGCTGTTGGTGCCAAGAGCCCAGTGCCAGGAGCCCAGCCTCTTCAGTTAATGTGGAAAAGAGTGGTTTTGAATCTGCATGGCTGTTTGATTGATGGTCCTGTCTTCGGCCAGCACTTTGAAGTTGGTCTTTGAGAGCCATTTGGAATAGAGGGAAGGGCCGGCAGTGGGGAATCTGGGATAAAGGCCATGTGTTTCCTTCCTCTGCCAGGTTTTGAGCACATGTCATGTGCAGGTGCAGTAAAGAGGCTTGTGGGGACAAAAATGAATGAGGTACAAATGTGAGGATAAAAAACATCAGAGGCACAGTCTCTGCTCTGATGTGTGCCAGGGGCCCTGGCTTGTCATTTCAGTATGAGCTAGTCATTTCTGCTTTGCAGATGAGTGAACTCAGAAAAGTGAATTAACTCCCTGAAGGTCACACAGTCAGTAAGTGGTAGATTTGAATCCAGTTCTTCTCATCTCAAAAGCATGTGTTGTCCCATTCCTGGGAGCTCAGGGCTGCTGAGGAGACCTGCTCAGAGCTGTTAGCTTGAGTGTGAAGCCCACTGTGGTCAGGGCTGTGATAGAGCAGCAGAGGGGAGTAGAATCCTGACTCGGCCTAACAAATCTCTGGGGGTGGAAACATCTCTGGGCAAAAACATCATTTGAACAGAAGCACATGGGTAGGAAACTAAGCAAGTATTTTACAAGGAATGAGCATGTGGATGGAGGGCAGGTTATCTCCAGGGGCCAGTGGACCAGGAGGTCTGGCCCTGATTTTGGAGTCTGCTTTTGGCCACATTGGAAAGGACATGAGTACCCCTACTTAAGTGTGCAGAATAGAAGTGGCATTTGTGTCATTACATTTGTGAACTTTATGCCCCGAAGATGTTCATAGGAATGACAAATAGACGTCTTAACATATGTGGTGACTGAGGGTAATGAGTGTCAGCAAAGAGTGTTTGATTTGCAGTGTCTGCTCGGAGCTATGAGCCTCTGCTGTGCTTGATTAGTGCTGTCTGCCCTGGGCAGCGAGGGTTGTGGGGGATGGCTGGTACAAGGATGCCCTGGTTTGTCTGTCTATTAGTGCTTTCACCAAACATCAAAACCCTACCATTGAGCGGCATTACTTTGATTCTGACTCAGTGCTTCCTCTCTAGTGGTGCTCCCCACTTGCTGCTGACCCTTGTGGCAGCTTGAAGGTAGCAGGTTTTAGTTTGGGGCCATAGGAGAGAGAAGGCCAGTAACCTGAGTGGGCTGAGTCGGTACTTTTCAGATTAATGATGGCTCAAATTGGTTACCAGGGGAAATTTCAGGAAGGCCAAGATGGCAGCAGGTTTTGTTGTCATTGTGGGTCTCTTACTCGAGTCTCTCTAGCCACAGGGGTTCTTTACCTGGGGTCTGTGGATAGAATTCAGGGAGTCTATGGACATGGATGACAAAAAGAAATGCACCTTTTTTTCATTAACTTCACATACAATTTAGTACGCTGTTTAGTGTAGTTGTGGGCAGTGAGGCATGGTCAGTAAGCTGGTGACTCAGTCACCAGTAGGAAATACAGCTATTTTCATATTGTATTACAGTCATAGTTTTATTTGAAAAAGCAATTTACCCTTGTCAAAACTTCAAAGTTACAGATATTAGACTTACTGTTAGGTATTATTTAATACTTTAATAAAGAAGCTTTACCACTCTCTCACACTTTATTTTGGAATATGTATTTTAGTGTAACTGATTTTCTTTGTCATCGTAAGGGTTTTGTGTATTTAAAACCATTGCTCCCAGTGATCCGGCTTCCACTGCTCACTGGTGCATGGTGCACTTGCTGGGTGCATGGTGAGTACACAACGTACAGTGATCCAAAATGAATGTCCAGTGATCCGAATGAATGTCCTAATTGGCAGTTGGAAGGCTTTCCAGTTATTTGCAATTCAAAATCATTTATTATTATTATTATTACTATTATTATTATAAGAGTATGTTAAGAATCCTTATTCATTAGAGATGTATACTGAGATATGTACAAATGAAAGGACAAGGGATAAATTAGCAACTAGACCACAAAACCCTTGAGGGCAACGGGTCTGAGGAAGAGTGTCACTGAGGGACAGGTTTCCATGCCACTTTGAAGATGGTGCTTGTACTTAAATTTTTTTTTCCTGCTGGTACTGGGGATTGAACCCAGGGCTTTCACACTAAGCTCCATCCTCAGCTATTTTTTAACCTTTTTATTTTTGAGACACATCATCTCCTTCCCAGCGTGCTGGGATTAGGAATATGCACCTTCACACCTGGCTGGTTGCCTGCCTTTTGGAGATACTTGGAAGGCACCAATGGGAAGCCAACGGAATTTTGTCACTGTCTCAGCAGCTCTTGCTGGTTACTAGGTCACTAGATCTCCACCGAGCCAGGCGACTCCTTGGTTCTCTTGGGGGTGGTAGATTTATATCTTCTACTTCCCTTCCTTTTATCAATCCTTGTTCAGACTTATGAGGGTGTTTGGAAAGCTTTGGACACTCTTCCCTTAGGAGATACACAGATTCACATGTTTGGAGTTTGCATGCATTTTGGGGCTCACATCCTTGACTGCCTGCATGGAGCTGAAGGCTCGGGCCCTTACTAGTACTGTCCCTGCCCAGCAGCTGCCAGGACGTTGTGTACTCACCATGCACCCAGCAAGTACTAAGTGCTTCATCTCTTCTTACTCCCACCCCCAGCCTCTATTCTTAGCCCCATTTTCTGAAAGAAGAAACTGAGGCTTTCCTGGAGGCTTAAGTAATTTATCTAAGGTCACAGAACCAGGGTACAGTTGAGGTGTTGGATCCCTATCTAGGTGGTCTGATTGCAGGCTGCAGGCCTCCTGCTGGCCCACCCTCCTGAGCCAAGTCCCCCCAACTCCCCAGTCCGGTCCAGTATGAGCCTGCTTCCTTTTGACCTGGTCTCTGTTCTGACCCATCTTGCCATCAGTCTCTGCAGAGTGTGGTCCTGAGGGCAGGCAGGGTCACCAGAATCACGTACAGTGGGGGACTTGTGGCAGCTCCCAGGCCCTTTGTATGGCCCTCTAGATGCTTCTCCTGCCTCTTCTCTGTCCCCATGTGTGGCCTCATGGCTGTGTGGGCATCAACATAGGGGCCCTGCAGGCTCCCCTCCCGATGACATCACTCTCATGGCTGTCTAAGCTCCCCTGTTGCATACTCACTTGGGGCCACTGTGTGCTTGTGCCACCACTGAATGTCCTTTTCTTCCCGTGCGTCCCACAGGCGAGGCTGGTGCGGTATATCTGTAAGCAGCGGCAGTGCAAGCTTAGTGTGGCCCCCAGCGACAGGACCCCGGAGCTCAACAGCTACCCACGTTTCCGCGACTGGCTGGACACCTTCAACGTCAGACCTGCAGTGGCACAGGTATGTGAGTGGAGCTCAGGTTTCAGGTGTGTGGGGCAAACAGACCACACACAAATCTGAGGGCATGTTTTCTGGGGGCTAAGACTAAGGGGCTGTACTCTCCACTCATGGGTGGGGGGTGTTAGGATGGCTGCACGGTCCTGGAGAACTCTGAGAGGACAGGCAGCAGTCTGAGGGGGTGCAGAGAAAGGTACAGCAGATACTGAGTCAGGTGATGTTTGAATCACAGTCATGAGTGATTCAACGGAGCTGGGTAGTTGGTGAGCAGCTCTCTCGTTTGGATCCAGGGGTCAGGCAGTAGAACCTCGTCTGTGCCAAATGCACCTGGAGCGGACTGGACGTTCCTTGGGATGCAGAGCTCCAGGAATGGAGGATCAGGGCAAGATAGCAGAAGAACCTCCTGCCACTCTGTGACCTCTGTGCTTGGAGACACGAGGCAGCTCAGAAACTGATGTGCCACCACCTTATTCTCCCCCTTCCTCAGACACCTCCATTCCTTCTTCCCACCCCCTCCCCACCTCCTATGTGGTGGTATTATCCACCCAGGTGCTCGGGCCACAAACCCAGGTGCTGTGGACCCATTCCTCTCCCCTTCCTTCCGCGGCATGGTCTAGCTCCCCTTTGGCCCCCGCCCCCAGCAGCCCCTTCATTGGTCTCCCTGCTTTGTCATTTACCCTCTTCATCCCACTTACTTAGAAATGTTAATTGGATCGTGTCATTGCTGTGGCTTCCCATGTCCTTCAGAGTCAGTGCCAGATGCCCTGTGCCTCTCTGACTTTGCGTTCCTCCCTCTTCTGCTCACTGAGGTCTGACCTTTGCATCCTGCTCCTTCCCCCTCCGTTGTCTTCCTGCCTCACCAGTGAACCTCTTTCTAATGCTGGTTCTCTGATCCCTCCTCCAGGCAGTCTTCCCTGCTGATCTGATCTGAAGTGTTCAGGCTGAATTTTAGTGAACACTGAGTGCCCTTTAAACTACTGGAAGACAAAGCGGTGTTCTGCTCAGCTGTGTAAAGCAGGCATTGTGGAGAGAGATTTGTGCCACAAGTGCCCGGAGCAGGCAGCTAGGTATAGACCTTTCCAAAACTTGTACTTGGTTAGGTGCTAGTTAGGAGTCATGTGGTGGTCCCTGTCCTCCCTGCCTGCTCCTTCCACAGTTGTAGAATGTCATGGATGTGGAATCAGGAAGGCTGAGGAGAGACCAGGATCCCTGGGTATGTTTTCTGTTAGACCAGCCCGGTTTGTTCGAGGATGAAGGCTCAGCGCCTTTTTTTTTTTTTTGGCTTTTTGAGACAGGGTCTCACTCTGTAGTTTAGGCTGGCCCACTTTGTAGCCCAGACTGGTCTTGAGCTTGCAACCATTTTCTTGCCTCAGCCTCCCAAATGCTGGCATTGCAGGCGTGCACCACTACACCCAGCTCAGTGCCACTTTCTGCCTGGCCTACTTGCCCAAGTGGGAGCTGGAAAGTCCTCTGTCCACCTGCAGGGCCAGCAGGACAGCTTAGCTCCCACTAAGGAGGAAGAACGCCAACGCTGGGCCGATCCTCCAAGGAGGTTCAGACTGCAGAGCTTAGCTCCCTGAGAAAATCATCCCTGATGTGTGCACCAGAGAGGTTTGCCCCCAAAGCCCCAGCAGATCAGGAGGGAATGGAATATTAGTGGAGACCAGAAAGTCAAAGCGTCTGCCTCTTTTTCCAGGCAAGAATTAACACACATCACATTCACCTGGCTGCAGCTGGTACAGTGGCCTCTGTAAGGCTCCTGTGGGCGGTGCTGTGGGTGGGCTGGCTACAGGCACAGCTGTTTCCTAACCACTGTGGCCATGGATGACCAGGTGTGGACCAGGCAGCCCAAACCTCTATGGGTGTCTCAAGTGGGTCCCTGTACCTTTTATACTCAGTGAGACTTGAACAAGTCGCTTCAGCCTCCTGGCCCCCACTTAGGTTGAATGAGACATTGGATGGTCTTTTGAGCCCTGTCTTCAGCCAGTTTTCTCCTGGAGAGTAAAGAGATCTAGAAGAGGAACAGTCAAGTGATGCAGTTTGGGGAAGATGTATTCGTGGGCACCTTCTCCTACATAGTGGCTTTGCCTTGCCCTCTGCTGTATCACTTCTCCCATAAATCGTGGTGCCACTGTCTTTCTTTCTTTTTTTTTTTAATTTTATTTAAAGAAAGACAAAACCAGAAAACGGGCAGAAATAGTACATACTTTCAAAGAAAAGAAATAAACAGTAATAAATCACTAGTTGATGTATACATATTGTCCCCCCACAAATAGTTGTTCAAGATACAAAAGTGGAACATATAAATGGGAATTCAACCAGGAAAACTGCAAGCAGTTCTGTTCAACTATCCAACAAAAACTAAGTAATATAGCTATCAATCCTATATACTTAGACATGTATACATTTATCATATCTTCATTTATGTTGAGATCTAACAAAACTTAGTAGATTAAAATTATTCTGAACAAAGATTAATAATATTGCTGGATTTCACATCATGACACTCCAGAATCAGAACTGGGTACTGTAGTGCCCGTTTCTTTCTTTCAAGGCATTTGTTCATTTCATCATGTGTCATAAGATCAGTTCTCATAAACTATTTATAGGTTTTATGCAAGCGTGAATCTTAACATGTATTTCTATCCTTTGTATATTAGAGTGAGAAATAGAACAAAGCAGGACAGAACTAAACATATTCCTATAGACACATAAAACTAAAAAGACATAAAACTGCTGTATGAGGAGTTCTATCATGGTCACTGTGCTGTCTCTTGTTATTATCAACAAAATTGGCTATATCATTAGATAAAGTATAATTGAATATATCAGTACATAACAGAATTAATAGAAATACAACTTTGTAGATAGTGCAGAGCTACAAAAACAGGTAGTAATCAAATCAGAATGGATATCGTAGTGATTCATTGTCATTTTCAGTATAGTTGTCTGTGCTCCTCAACTTGATACCAGCAGCCTAACAGTTTTGAATAAAATCTGTCAATAATAAGCAGCAACCAAACAAGTCAGATTTAACTAAGATCAGTCATGATGTAACAGTATAAGTTATACAGAGATCCTGATTGAGTTAATAGGAAATTAAAGATGACCACTGTGCTATGTCCTGGTATCTTCAGGACAGCTGTCTATGCCCTCAGATCCAGTGCTTGTATACAAACTGGGATGGAACAAGTTACAACCAAGCAGAGTGGTGTGAGTTTTAAGGGTTTTAATTCCTGATATACTATTAGCAGTATCTTCTGTTGTCTTTTTTAAAGACTGTTCCTCCCCTTTCACTCCCCTGGGATGTACTGTGTATTTTTGGGTCTCCCCAACACTCATGGTTTTATACTGGGGGTGCAACCTACTATTTACCTAACTATTTCTGAACTTTCTCACTCCTGGACTGGATTTCTAGTTGTATTTCTTCACTTAGTAATGCCTATCTTTTCAACCGATCCGTAAATACTGGTCCAGTTACTCCTATTATTACTGTCTGGTTCCCTATCATATTGAGTTTCGTTTTCTCATATTTGATTTTGGTCCATATACCCTTATTCAGGTTAATTATATTTCCTATAAAGAGCCTCTCAGTGGACCTACCTCTTGATCCACTCTGCCTGGGATTCTGTCTTTTTTCCCTTAAGTTAGTGTATTTAGGCCATCCATATTAGAAATTATATCCAACTTTCTCTGCCTTATTTCTATTCTTCTTGTTTTCTGTCATTAGTTGTCTGTTTGTCTTCTTCATTTTGCTTTTTGTTCCATTTGTTGGGGCCTCTCTGCCACTGTTCCTGAAATCCTGGTGTTTTTCTCTCTCTTTAGAATGCCCTGTAGTATTCTCTGTAGAGTTGGATTGGTGGTTGTGAATTCCCCCAGTTCCTCTTTATCTTGGAAGCATCTTTTTTCTCCATTAATTTGTAGGGACAGTTGTGCAGGATACATCAATCTGGGCTGGAGGTTATTTTCTTTCAAGGCTTGGATTATTTTGCCCCACATTCTTCTAGATTTGATGGTCCATGCCGAGAAGTCTGCCGTAATTCTGATGGGTTTTCCCTTGTAAGTGATCTGTTTCTTGTCTCTGACAGCTTTTAATATTCTATTCTTATATTGGATTTCTGAAATCTTGATTATTATATGCCTGGGTGTAGTTCTGTTTTGGTTGTAGGTGGCTGGAGTTCTGTATGTCTCATACATCTGAGTATCTTTTCCTTTTCCTATGTTTGGGAAATTTTCCTTAATTATTTCTGTGAATAGCCTTTGCAGTTCCTTTGTTTGTACCCCTGCTTCTTCATTCACATTCTTTATTCTTAAGTTATAGATCCTCTTGTTGTCTTCTAGCCTTTGTATTGTTACTGCTTATTTCCTTGTTATTTTTAAGAAATTTTTCTTTTCATGTTCCCACATTGCAAACCTGTCCTTCAGTTTAGATAGTCTATCCTTAGTTTCTTTCAAGCAGTTTTGCCAGCTTTCAATGGAGTTTTTAATTTCCTGGTAATCTCTTTGAACCTGCTTATGTATTCTCTGTTTTCTCCATCAAACAATTCTCCCCTTTTTTTGTTCTTCCATTCTACCATCTGTTTTTTTCTTGGGAGGTGCTTAGCATTTCTTTTAATTATTCTATTTATATCTTGCTTTACTTGGTTAAATACTTCACTTTTGAACTTGTCTATGAGGTCCCAAAGATACTGCTTTGTGTCTATTGGTGCCATGCCTGATATTGCATGTTTTCTGTCCTCATTCACCTTTCCTGGATCAGTGTTCTCAGGATTGGGGACTGAGGACCCTTTCTTGTTGCTCCTTCTTCTCATATTTTTTGTTTCTCCATATAGGCGTATATAGGAAGCCCAGCTTCTTTCTTTGTTGGTTTCAGTTTGTCTGAGGCATGCTGATTAGGTGGTTCTGCCCACTGCAGTGTACTAGGAGGTACAGACCCAGGCAGCCTATGTTGGGCCTTCCCTCCAGGTCAACCTACTGAAGGCTTCACTGCATTAGGGTGTACT